CGAGTTGAGCGCTCGGCGACATTAAATGTATCCACTCAATTTAACGGTCTCTTTTATACCGATCTGCCGGTAATAACGACCGGTTTGGGAGATCGGTATCTGGAGCCTCGTATACCGGTCTAGTGGTTGATATTACCGACGGTCGGTATTGGGTTTGTTTTGGCATTGGCAGCCCCTCACATGGTGACCAGGCCACCGACCTGATCATCCAGAGTCGTATATTAAATCTTAACTTTCTTTTAAAATGATTCAGTTTTATGAAGAAAATTCTAAATTATTATTAATAAAATATTTTAAAACAATTGTTATTAAGCAAAATTCTTTGTTTTCTTATTAAATACCTTTTATAGTATAGGCAATAGGTATTTTTTTTCCCATGGACCTAGAATGTACTGTGCCTGGCCATGTGACCGCATTGTTTACTGTGAACTCGCGCAGCTGAGAGCAATGTCTCAGAATATTAGCCAGAGAAAATCAGATTCAGACAAAAATAGATAAATTCATGATTTCAACGGTTCGTGAAAGCACCCACTGGGAACTAAACAAATCATGCAGCATCCGCTGGCAACGAGTGCCCTACAAGCCATGCTGCATCCGCAGATGCTGAATTCCCATCAACAAGTCGTGCAGCCTCCGCCGGCAACGAATGCTCTGCAAGCTATGCTGCACCCGCCGCTGCTGAATTCCCATCAACAAGTCGTGCAGCCTCCACCGGCAACGAATGCTCTGCAAGCTATGCTGCACCTGCCGATGCTGAATTCCCATCAACAAGCCATGCAGCCTCCGCCGGCAACGAATGCTCTGCAAGATATGCTGCACCTGCCGATGCTGAATTCCCATCAAAAGTCGTGTTGCCTCCACTAACAATATAAAATATGATTGAAAGGCATATAAATTAGTGTAAAAAGTGTTGATAGAGTACAGTATTGTAAGTGTTAATGATTATTTAAGCCTTGACAAAAAGATACTGTACAGTGTAAATATACAGTAAAATAATTTTCAATTGTGAATTACAATTAGAACTCATGTGAATTAGTAGTAAGGCTAGCTGTTGTGTGAAGTGAATGCCTGAAAATAAGTGTACATACTGTATGTACCCTGTATACAGTACTGAACAATATAAAACGAGCGTTGCAGAGGATGACGTAATCTTCACAGCTTCGTAATCTTCAGCTTCATTACAAGTAAGTCAATTTACCAATTTTAATATAGTTTTACAACATATTAATTGTTTTTTTTCAACAAAAGCTACATATTAATCTCTGCAAATGTATATTCTATCATTAGCAGAGAAAAAATGAGCTCAAAATATTTTGTCTTGGCTAGCTCTCAGTGACAAGGCTCGATCGCTATTGTATGGCCTGGATGCCACAGCCTGTGTCATAACATTAAAAATACATTACCTGCACTGTTCAGGGTAAAACAAAACACATCTCTAAAATTTTATTGAGAAAATATTAACAATCACTGACTGATACATGAAATATTTTGCAATACAAAGGAATAAACCAATTTTTTCCCACCCATCTGGACTTGATCAGACCGTGTTCACACATCATCCATGCAGCAGCCACCAGCTGGCTTAATCGTTGGCGTGGCACTAAATTGGAACGCAATTACACAATGAACTTTATTTAATTTTACTTATACAGTATAAAATATATCCTACCTGAATGTTACTTGAAAAATTACCCAACCCGACTTAACTTCGAAAATAACGGAGTTCCGGAAATAACGACCAGGGTACAGCCCCATATAGGCCATTAAATTGAGTGGCTACTGTACACTCGTTTCAGTTTTCTCGCCTTAATTCTCGTGCTACATTGTTTGTTTTGGTATCATTGTGTTCGCAATAGAATTCCCTACAGGTTTATATGCATATAAGGTGATCAGCCAAGCATGACTCCCCACAGCAAAACCTAAAGTCGGCAAAAGTTACCCCATGAGCGCATAAAATCAGTCAAATGTGTATACTCATTTCAGTTTTCTCACCTTAATTCTCGTGCTACGTGGCTCGTTTTGGTATCATTGTGTTCACAATTAAATTCCCTGCAGGTGTTGTATATGCATATATTGTCGCAAAGCCAAGCGTGACTCCTTTTAGTGAAGCCTAAAGTTACCCGTGAACGAGCACCAATTTGCACATAGCAGCCAAATGTGTATACTCGTTCAGTTTGATAACATCAATTTTTGTGTTACGTCTTTCATTTTGTATCAAATTGTTTGCAATAAAAAGGCGCGTATTTTAAAACTAGTCTCATAATAATAGAGCAATAAATGGAATTTGAACACATATTTTAATTTTTGACGCTCATCATCACAAAATTATTTATATCTTTCCAGTGTTCTGACATAAATTTTTGTGTTACGTCTTTCATTCTGGTATCAAATTGTTTGCAATCTAAAGGCACACATTTTAAAACTAGTCCCATAATAATAGCAAAATAAATAGAATTTTAACAAATATTTTAAAATTTTTATCAAAAATGTATTTATAATCTTTCAATTGTTCTGACATCAAGTTTCGTGTTACATCTTTCATTTTGGTATCAAATTGTGCGCACTCTAAAGGCGCTCATTTTGAAACTATCCCGAAGTCGATCTGATAATAAATGAATTTTATACAAATATTTTGTTATCGGACGCACATCATGTCTGATGCTCGGACTTGAGAAAAAAAAATCAGACGCGAGGGTCTTTCGAAGAGTGCGATAGTGTTACCGTGACCTTACCATGTACGTATATATTGTTCTTCGTTATACTCTGGGGCGCAGTCCCGTATTTCGGTAACTTTTGTTGAGTCTTTCAGTGACTGAATCTTTTCTTTCCTCTGGGCACTCCTTTATTGACTCCTTCAATGCTATCTAGACACTCATTCATTGACCGTCGTTCAGCGCCTGGCTGCGCCCTTATATATACATTAGAGTCTCTGTATATATAGTTGATCATGTACATTACGTTACACACAGAAATCACAATAGCGTGATGCATCAAATGAACAAATCCACAAGGGTCGTAACGAGGATTCGAACCTGCGTCCAAGATCATCCCAAATGCTGCCTTTATCAACTGAGCTACGACATGGTCAAAAAGAGTTGAAACCGAAGTTCTACTGAACTTATTGGATCCTGCAGCCTCTCCGAGACAAACCAGGGTTTTACACAACTCCCCCATGCACTCGAGCTATGTCAATAGGCCGTTCTCCCTCTTCGCCCTTACTTCATTACACACAGAAATCACAATAGCGTGATGCATCAAATGAACAAATCCACAAGGGTCGTGACGAGGATTCGAACCTATGTCCGAGATCATCCCAGACGCTGCTTTTATCGACTAAGCTATGACATGGTCAAAAGGCGCTGCTTGCTCGGTGTCCACACCCAGGGGTTTTCCCGTGGCTCTGCCTCTTTCAAATGATCGGTCCGGTCTGTGACGAGACTTGTTCGGTCTTCTCCTAGAGTCTTCAAGCCTGGTATTTTTGACTCGAGTCTCTTATCATCTGTTTGGTGATCAGGTAGCTTCGTTAATGGGGTCCCACCCGCGTGCTTCGTCTCGGTGGCAGTATGGGGTTTTCTGGCAGTCCTTCCTTTTTTTTTTTGTCTCTTCGTAGGTATACAGTATTGCGCTTTTTGTTGATGTGGTCTTGTCCTTCTCTCGTGGAGGTTGCGGATCGTCGGCTTGCCACATACTGTCGCCTTGTCTCATGCTGCACTGGAGAGCCGCTATGGATTGCTTTTGGTTTTGATGTTCCTTCTGCACTGTTTCGCGAGCTGTCTTGGGCGTTGTTCACCTCCGGCCTGCTCAGGCTCTGCTTGAGCCATCCTGGTTTTGGACAGGGTGCTCTTTTCTTTCTCTTCTCCTCAGTTTATTGTGGCCCCTTCGATTAAGGTTTGTTTATCGGTAGTGTCTGCTTCTTCGGGTTCTGGAGGTCAGTTTGTTCATTTGCGGCCGTCTCATCTTTTCTGGCGAGGTTTTCCAGAAAGTGGGGGGGGGGTCCCTGTGGTTGTTGATGTTTCGTTGGTTAGCCAGGAGTGCATGTTCTTGTGTCTGGTTGTGGCTCTTGGCCATTGCCTGCGTGCCGCAGATTCTGTGGCCCTGGATGCACTTTGGGTTGACCTGGGTTCCCTTCGTCCCTGTTCCAGGGTTCGGGTCACCCGGGTCGTTTGCAGGGTCATTTGGTGTTGCCAGTTGTTTTGCTTTCGGGTTCGGGCTCGAGGTTACTGCCTCCCTGGTTTGTCCCTGTTTTGTCCTTGGCTTTGGGTACTTAGCTCTGGGGAGTCAAAGGGGCTTCCCCCAGAAAACCAGCATTGAATCTAATGAAATGCCATTTTCTGGGTGAGACCCAGAGGCTCCCCGGCAACCCTCTCTCTGGCATTTTTTTCACATGTTTTTGACATCCAGCCTCAGAACTGCAAGGTGGATCGCCAGCACGGGAGTCTGGGGCTCCCCCTTTCCCCTCCCGGGGAGGGGGGAGCTGCGCAGACATGCGGCTCGGCTCGTGTGATGTCATGCTCGTTTGCTCGTTTTCATTTGGGGAATTCTGTCCACTCTTTTGTTTATTTTAGTCGTTTTAGCCAGAATAGGGGTTTGTTTTGAGGCACTAACCTTTCTGGGTGCCTAGCCCGGTTGATGGCAGACATAAAATGCTCCAAATCCCATGTGCATTTCTATAGGCCATTGCTCCTTGTGCCTCTCTGAGGGGGCCAGGTTCTAGCTCGTGGTCCTCTGTAGGCCTAGAACTCCATTCAAACTGATGCCAAATTCTAATGATAGTGTACATATCAGCCTGGATAGCTCCGAGGAGCCCGGGTCTCACCAGAAAATGGCGTTTCATTTGTTTCATTACATTCAACACAGGCTTTTTTTACCAGATTCACCTTATTTTTGGGAATGGACATATTTATATTAGAATTTGCTAATTTATAAAACCACCAATAAAATACTGTAGTTTGAAATGTGTAATAAGTGATGGCAAATATTAATTTAACCTTGCCTTTCAGTGGGTGCAGTCTACTATTACCTTTACAAGCGCACAATTCTACAGCTCTCTGAAAAGAAGTTCTACTCCCAAGTGTCGGTTGGAAACTGCAAATAACATACAATTATAATTTTCTTTACACATTTTAAAGACAAAAAAGGCAGTTTTTAAAGACCATAAACTATTATCGTATGAAAGCAACCTCATGAACCTTTAGGTTCATGAGGTTGCTTTCATTGATAAAGTATCTTGCTTCACTCTCAGACCTTATACATTTGTATGGAGATGCACAGTTATTGAGATTCATTATTTGACCCATTTGATGCTGGAAATAACAAGGTGCAAACTTCAGTCTCGGGCAATTTTGAATTTTCTTTTCTTGAAAGAAATTTGTTTAATTTTGCAAGTATAACCAAGAAAAAATAGATGAAGATAATGATAGTTTATGACTAACTTTATTACCAATTACTGGGTTCACTTTACTATAGACCAATTAATTTAAAGAAAAAATGACAAACGTAAAGATGTCCAAACAGCCTTAGTATGTTGTCGATACCTTTCTGGCATCTTTGAGCCTCTCTTTGTAGGTTCTTCCACCATTTACAGTAACACATTGAAGCCAACTGACTTTTTGCTCATTCTGAAACTTCTTGGGAAGACTTTCTACCATAATGAACCTGCAAGGTACTATGATATCTTACAGTTGACTCAATCTGTTCTTGTTGAAGAGGAGGTAGAACAATAATGAGATTGAATAAAAACACACACTTATGTATCTTTGCATTTTATGTAAAGGTTTATGCCAAGTCACATTCACATTCATATGCACATTCGAACCCGGACGCAGGTTCGAATCCTCGTCACGGCCCTTGTGGATTTGTTTATACCAAGTTTTTCGCACTCAACTATGACAGCTCGGTCTCGATGATCGCTTGGACGAACATTCCTCACTTAATCGAACATGTGTATGTTCCACTGAACATTTACTACCAAATTCAATTTGTTGGGATCATCCGGGAATTCAATAGTGGGGTTCGTTAGAGTGAAGATGCACAGTAATTATTTCAATGTGTCTGATTGTATCTTTGTTTTTTTTTGCTGTAATATTATTCAATAGTCTGCAGTGTGATATATTTATATAATAAAATTTGTGAATCATCGCTATACTCAAAATTATGGTGTGCATATTATTGATTCAATTATGTTCATAAAACAATAAACGAATACTGTACTTTCTCGGTTATTACACTATATACACAGGTTAAATATAAGTATCTGCATGTTTTGTTCACCATAATGAACCATTAAGTTGATATTGCAAGTTCAATAAGCAACGAGGAGTGGCCACCAAATCTGCCACCCAGTCTCTTGCTGCCACTCCTTCAAAAACTCCTCACTTGCCAATATCCTCCTCCCACCATACTGTTTTTGCTTTTATTTACTATATACAAACATTATATGTAAGTATCTACATGTTCTGTTCACAGTAACTGTTCATCTAAGCTGGTATAGTGCACAAAGAGCATAGTGGCCACCCTTATACAGCATGACAAGCCAGGAAGATGATGCCACCTTCCTCACCAAAATGGCTTCTTCCAACACTCGTTTTGCTGTTATTACACTATACACACACATTATATATAAGTACTGTATCTACTTTTGTGTTCACCATAGCGAACCACTAAGCTTGTATGGTGAGGGCAGAAAGTAACAAGTGGCCACACACAACTGATGTTCCCTCCCTTCCTCACTGGTTCAAGGCCAGATGCACTAACATTCCTCCTTCAAGTATTGTATACTGTTTGTGGTGTTATTACCCTATATACATACATTATATATAAGTATCTACATGTTTTGTTCACCATAACTGTTCAACTAAGCTGGTATAGTGCCCAAAGAGCATAGTGGCCACCCTTACCCAGCATGACAAGTCATGCAGATGTCGCCACCTCCCCTCACCAAAATGGCTTCTCACAACACTCCTTTTGCTGTTATTACACTATATATATATATACACACACCGTTATATATAAGTATCTACATGTGTTCACCATAACGAACCACTAAGTTGGTATGCTGAGTCAAACAGCAGCAAGGAGTGACCACCACACCAACCAGCCTGCCACTGGCTGCCACTCCCTACCTCACCTCACTCTCCAACATTCTCCTCACACCATACTGTTTTTGCTTTTATATATAACGTCTGTATATAGTGAATAAGTATCTGCATGTTTTGTTCACCATAGCGAACAACTAAGCTAAGCGAGTCCAGACAGTAAAAGGGGGTCACACAGAGTCGGCAGACAATGCTGCCTCCTTCCCCACCAAGATTACTCCTCCCACTACAGCGCTAATTATCACAACAATCCTGCTATTATCAGAATCCTGGTCATTTTTATCACTGTCAGGGATCTTCTGTAATATTATCATCATCGCTAAATTTAGCATGTACATATATATTTTGAGATTTTTAGGCGCTGCTGTGGTCACAAGCTGAACAGCAGTGCTATGAGCTCATGCTGCGTGCGCCAGCCTTGGTGGCTCACTCGGTACTGAGGCCCTCACACCCGGGAATGTTGCCCATGATTTTTTTTTAAATGGTGTCTATTTACAAGAGCCCTGATGGTGAGGTGAACCCCGTGTATCCGCGGGTCGTTTAAATCTTGCGTAGTACTCCAACACGTCATAGGACGTGTTGCGCAGTTTAAGGGTTAATAACAACTCCAGTTCTCAGAATATCAGGATGGCAGAAAGGACACCTTTCAATAAATGTATGCTGAAACATACTTAAAAAAAATTTCCACAAAATATCCTTGTAAAATACTGGTACGTCTTATGTGCGGGTATGTCTTGTCTTTACGTAGATAAATCTCGTCCTAACCACATAGTCTTTGACACTCAGGAGTGCGAAAGACTTGGCATAAATCTATACATAATATTGACAAATATAGGTTTTTATCCTCTTACTATGTCTATGAGAAGACATTACTATTACTCATTAATGAGATTGTGATTAATAGTGAAAGGCAGGCAGACTTGTTTGATAAGGATGTGAATATTTGTATTACTCAAGTCTTATGTGCTGTATAAGCCCTTTAAAAATGTATATTTTTAAATTTTGTGAAGCTCGCTGCTATATTACACTTTTTTATGTATCAAAATATTTATAATTCTGAATAATGTTTAATATATAGATTTTATACTGAATTATATTTTATGTACATACTCTATCTTGAGATGCATACACAACATTCAATAGAAGCAAGCTTGTTAATACTGTATACACATTAGGAAAAATAATACTGTATTATTTTTTTTTCACAAATGTATTAATAATTTCAAATTGGAGGAATTTCATTTAATACAATTAAACAAAAGCTACTCTCTGTTGTGTTTATTTCTTGCACAAATGGTAGACTGCTTTCAACATCAGGTACATGGTTGTGCTGGTGTAGTCTGCATGACTACCAGCAATGGATTGTGTAATTTAGTAGTCATTCTATATAGATTCTTTACCCATTGTCTAATTTATCTATTAAATGCTTAAAGAAAATAACTCTCTCAAAGATCTAAATAATTAAACCATTTAAATGGGTACAGTTGTTACATAATGCACATATGTATGATAAAATAACATCTACAAAATATGTATTATCAAACCCTACGTAACTATCAAAGTGTTACGCCCAGAAGGCTATATAGCACTAACCATAACAATTAATGTAATGAGTTGTATAATCTTCAGAATGACTACTGGACCATTCATGAATTACATGTTACTGGAGTATTGGACTTGAGAAGTATTAGTGCTTATAAATGGATTATATACAAATACTCTATGTATAAAAAATTACAAAAATGTCAATGCTAGCTACAACTAACCAATTTCCCTGAATAACTGACCAGAGCAAAATGCTGGTGCAGAACTTCAGTTTGTGGCCAAGCGAGTGCTGCAACATGAGGACAAGACAACCCCATTCATCATATTACCATGACTGTTCTACACTTGACATGTTACATTACTCTATAACCATTGTAATATTCAGATATAGTAATATATATCCAGTAGCCAATAAACAGGCACTGTAGACTCTCTTCCAGCTACGTACATAAATTCTATGATTTAAATATTACAACTATAAATGCTTAACTGCTTTTGAGTCCAACTAAAATGTAAATTTAACCAAAGGTCCTGATTTAACAAATATAAAAATACAGTACAAAATAAACATTAAAATTCAAGGGAAAGCAAAAAAAATAATGAGGGGTCATTGTTAGTAGATTTAAAGAAATTTGTCGAATATTCATGAAGGTATTTTAATTTTTTTGGCTTCACCTTCACATAACAATTAACTCTGCACATATTTTAAATGTAATATTATACTTATGTTCCTATTCACAAACTAATATAATAAAATGCAAATCATTACAATTGATTTTGGCTTAATTCTTCATGATAATCGTGTACCTGTTGGCACAATACTGTAGAGCAACTCGAGAGTTCATAACCTGTTTACTGAATGGAAAGCAGAGCAAGAATTACCATAACTAGGTAAATAAATGCATTACCATTATTAAGTTTTTGTCAAAACTTTGAACATCCATTTCATAAAATACTAAGAGACCCTTACTGCTGCAAAACATGACAAAATAGGAGTCAAAGCTGAAAAGCAACAACCTTAGTCAAATAAGAGAAACATCATCTTTAACTTTATGGGTTATATTATATGGAGGTGTTGACCTAGCCAATAATAGATTTGTGCTAATATCTGTTTTCATTTGATCTCAGTAACTGTAATAAAAGTCAACATCATTATTGAGAGGATGTATGAACAGCACTCGGCATTGGGTTGTATGAATTACAATTATTGTTGAAAATTTAGTCATAAATTAACTGTACACTCATACTCTGTAATATATTCCATACACTAGAAACAATGTACAGCTTAACCCAATTCTAGTTTAAAAAATTACTTTTAAATTTGCTGAATTATGAAAAGTGATACAAAATCAAGTAACGTGTAGGTATGTATATATGTATGTGTATATATATATTTAGAATTACTGTATAGTTTTATTAAATAAAATATTAAAATATTGAGTCAACTACTTTTGTCCAAATATCTTTTAATTTGGTAATTTCTTACATATCTGCATTATCATGAAAGTCAGACTTGCAAATGTTCCAACAATTAGCAAGAAAAACAAGGTATTTAAAATTATTCTGTTTCTTTTATATTAATTAACAAATGAGATTCTGTGCACATGCACACACACAAATAGGTTCTGGAAATATGAATTATGAGGAAATAGTGAAGGTACTGGATATGCCCAAATTTGAAGACAATAAAGGGGAGATGTATATGTATACATTTTATAAGTTATAGAATGTATAAACTTCTATAAGTTTGTAATATGATATGGAAACATCTTTTAACCATAAATACTGTGTACACAACAAGAGGCAACAATTGTAAAATATAAAAAAAAGAGCATAGAAGAGATAACAGGTACCATTTCACGATTCTACTTTGAGATTAACATCCTTTGTTGCAAGAATTATAAAGATCATAGGGAGAAAAAAACAACTATGAATTGTAAGCATTCAAGAGTGGATAAGAATTGACATGAGTCATATCAGTCAAAAGGTCCTCACTAAAGGTACACGTCCCCTATGAAGAAATAAGACAAGGCTAAGCTGCACAAAATGTCATCAATGAAGTTGGTGTTTCTTCTCTGACATATAGGACATAGATTGCTCAGTTTTTAAAATTTGCTGAAACACTTTCAAATGTTTTGTGCATAATTTATTACGCTCCAACTTTGTCTAAATGATACCAACGTAACTTGGAAAACAAGAAAATAAAAATTAATATAAAATTGAATATTGAAAACTTCAGGTTTTGAAATCAGCTGCAAAAATATAAAATATCACCAATTGTTCATTTGGTGTTATTATGTTCTCAGAATAGCATATGATCTTCATTTTCATATATTTAGAATACAAATTTTCAGTATAGTTTACTGTAAAAAAAAAAAGTCAATATAGCATTTGAAATATGTGCAAATTTAGACAACAAAAATTTTTAACTCCAAACATTTAGGGTTTATGAAAAATCAATTCTACAGGGATTGTAGAACAAACAGCTGTGCACACTATACAAAAATGGTGAGAATCAGT